TCTAATTCTTTGTATTTTCTGTTTGTTACTTGTTGTTCTGGAACTTTCTATGCTTTTGTCTATCACAATTCAAATTGGGCCTGTTTGTGTATCTGTTGATATATGTGTTTGTTTTGTTGTTTATTTATATGTTGCTGTGATCTACAGATCTACATTCCAGGTTTCAGAAAGTTCTCTAAAATTTCATTTTTCAAAGTGCTGACCAAGGCATTTTTCTCTTTGTAACTTTAACTAAACTATTTATTTTCTTCTTATCACTTTTGCTATACCTTCTTTGCAAGCTCTATCTTTTTCCTAGACTTATGAAGTTAGTTTAGACAGTTGTTTTTGGTAAACTTCTAAATGTTTTTTCTACAAATTTTGTATACAAGTGATCAGCAAAAAGTGTATGTTTAATTAATTTGAAACTATTATCATCAAATTCTTCATTTTGACTTATTATATATATATTATTCCAGTTTTCATAAACTTTTAATAATTTTTTGGTTAACATTTTATTATCGATTAGGTTATCTAAAACAAATATTATAATCTTTATAAAACTATAATATTTATTAGCTGTAAATTTAGCAATTGATTAAATTTTATACTTAAATATTTTAAGTTTCAAATATCTTAAAATATTTACTAATTTTTTATCTATTTTATTTATCTATATAGATCTGTTAAAAGATTGCAAATAAATATGATTTGATAATTAAATAATCCTAAATCTAAATAATGCATTCTATTAATTACTGTAGCTTTATATATATCAATATTACTAAAATTAATAAATATATTAAATTATTTATTAGTAATTAATAATATTACAAACTTTAATATATTTTGCAATGATTCGAAATATTTTAAAAATTTTTAAATTGATTTGCAATATTTTAATAATTTTTACAAATATTTAAAATATTTTAAATTATTTAAAACTATTTATATATATTTATATATATTTGCAATATATTATAATTTTGTATTTTTAAAATATTTTTTAATATTTTAAATTATTTTAAAATGTTCTAATTAAATATAATTTTATTTATTTAAATTTTCAAAAAATATCTTGTATCAATTTAATGCAAACTGTATTTTTTTCATTTATATTATAATAATTTAGTATATTTTTATAATTTCTTAGTTTTAAATCATGTTTAGTAAGTTTTAAATTAGCTAAATTTTTTTTATTAACTAAACAAAAATAATAAGAATAGTTAGAGCTTGCTGATTTGTATATTAGACAAAATGCTACAACTTCTAGTCAATCTGCAATATTTGTTAAAATTTTTAAAAAGAACCATATATATTTGTTGTTAATTAACAAATTAATTTTAGCTTCTAAATATAATTAAATAGATTCTAAGATTATTTTTAAACAATTATAAAAAGTTTGTCTAGCTTTTTGTTTAACTACACCAGAGTTTGATTTTATTATTGGCAAGTAACCTAATATTTGCTTTGTATTTTGCTTATTTTATAATAAGTAAGTATATTTTCAAGTAACAAATATATTGGATAAAGCTAACTTTTACCCAATATATCACAATTAATAGCATCTGAATACAAAATAATTAACAAAATTTTTGAGCCTAAAGGTAAAGTATTCTGAATAGTTTTCTATCATATTTCATTATTTTGCTTTTTATAAAATATTTTCTTTACTATTTTTTAAATAAAACTAAATTAATAAAAACAAAATAACTATTTTAATAAATAATATTAAAAAATATATTAAAAAATATACTTATCTTAGTAGTTTTATATAATTCTTTATATTCAAGAATAAAATTTTCTAATATATTAGAAACTTCTAATATTTTTTTAATACAACTAATTAATAGTATATAATATAAGAAATACTTAGTATTATTATAATCTAATATTTTAGTTTTTATATATGACAAGTTAAATTTCATATTATTAATATAAAGCTTTTCTTGCTTAATATTAGTTGGCAATAGAGATATAGAATAATTAGAATATTTATTAAAAAATAAAATAATTGCATTTCTAGCTGCATTATTTAGCTTATATTTTATAACCAAAAGCATTAAATTAGTATAAGCTTTATTAAAAAATTTATTATTTTTTTGGCTAAAATCATCATTAGAATTATTTTAAATATTTTCAGAAATTACTTTATTTAAAGAAATATTATTAGCAATATCTTCATACTTATATAAAGTATTTTTAAATTTATTAAGAATATTAGTATTAAGATTAATTTCAAAATTAATTAAAGTATTAGTATTGTCAACTAACTTAAAGAATATATCTTCTAAATTCATATTTTTTAAATTATCAAGTATAATATTCTTATTAGAAAAATTAGAAAAACTTGCATTATTTTTAGAGAATTTTAAAGTATTTTAAAAATTAATATTTTCAAATAATATTTTTTTAACAGAAAAACTACTATCAAATTGTTTGTCTTCAAAATTGAAAAAATCACTTTGAAAAGCTTTACTAATATTCAAAATATTTTAAATACTTTTAGAAAATTGTTGAACAATTTAATTGTCATTATCAATAATATGAATATATTTAGTTATATGCTTATTCAAACTATTTTTAATAGCAAAGATATAGGAGCAAAAAGTATATACAAAGCTTGATATTTTTAAGTTTATAAGAAATTAGAAAAAAGTTTTTAGATTTCAATTTTAGAAATAGTGCAAATAGTCTAAAAATATTAAATGCTAAGCTACTGCTAAATTTTTAGTATGCAGTATAACTATAATTAGCCAATAGTATTGCAAAATTATAGTATAACAATGTTTATTACATGATAATAATATAATTTAATTGGCTAAATTTATTTAAAAAAATTTATTTCTATTATAATGCTAAAAATTTTAAAGTCTTATAAATTTAAAATTGTATCTTCTCAATAATAAGCAAAAAAATCTTAAAACAAAATATATAGTTTGATAGATCTTATTAAAAGCTATTAAAATATATATTTTTTTTTAAGTTTTTGTTGTTTATTGTCAAGAAGATACAATTTAAAAAAATTAGTAATAAATTTAATATCTTTAAACTGTTTACACTATATTAAAATTTTGTAAATATTTTCAAAAATATGTAATATATTTCGATAGGTTTTGATTTTGTTAAAATTTTTAAGGGTAGAGGATATGTAGATCATTTTATATAGTTTTATCATATTGGCATGTTTGGTTCATCACTTTTAAGTAGCCCCAAAATTTTGGAGTCCAAATATTGATTACTATTTTTATAATTATCAATTTTATAATTGAATTTATATTAATAAACTTTTTGACTTGTAAGTAAAATATATGCTAAAGTTCAACAATTTTTGAAGGTAATATATTTTTATTATATAGAAACATAACTATAAACTTGTTAATATTAAAAAGTAAAATTTATATTTAACTGTATATAGAAGCACAATCTAAATTAAAGAATCATAAATAATTACGATTATACAACTTATGCTTAATTTTATTTAAACATTTATATTTTTATAAGATAAATTATTTAAGATATATGTAATGTCATAGTGTGACATCTTAGAAATATTACAGTATTTATTCAAATATATGTACTGTTAGTGCAAACTATAGTATCCTGAACACAATACATTCTATGAGCAAAATTCAAGTTAGTATCTGGATACTATTGTTATGAATATAGAATTAAAGTTAGTACAGTATTTAGCAAAAATAATGTATTTGTACATTATTAAGAAGGAAATTTTATGTTTATTATTTTGAAATCCAAGTTAAAATAAATCTGAAATTAGCTAAAATAAAAAAATAAAATTCGCTAGTTATTGTTATTAAAACAGAATTAGATAAAAAATTTAATTTTTAAATTTGCTATTACTATTTCAATAAATTGGTATAGCAGGAATTTAAAGCATTAAGTTTATAAGTTAAAAAATTCATTAATCTAAGTATAATATTCAAAGATAAGAAATCTAATCTTAACTCGAAGAAATTTCCTCTATAATTATATTATGTATATAAATATTTATTGTGATTTGCAAAAAAATGTAGTCATTCAAAAAAATATAAATATAACTAATCAAAAATATAAAATAACAGATTTCAGAAATTTTTCTCAATCATTGTTACAAAAATCATACAGTTACAAGCCACAATAATCAATTTATTAATTTATTACTTTATATTATATAAAAGAACATTATTGCCCAATATACTTCTACGCAGATACAATTAATCTAAAATTTAACCAACCTACTCTAACCTTTAATCTTATTCTAACCTCTAAACTAGCCACTAACAATAATGTTTTACATTTTAACTCGTAGCGATACCCTATTTTAAAAAATTTTAACAAATTAATATATATATATATTTATCTTTTTAGCTTTAATTTTAATTAATACTTACTAATTCATTAGTTAAACTAATCAATTTCACAAATATTTCTAATTTCAACAAATGTTATTCTAATCAGTATTGTGTAGCTTTTTTAATATAATTAGGAATATTTGCTTGCCAATAAAATAATTGCTAATTTTCATGTTCTAATATTTCTAGCATTGCTAATTTTCTAGACTGATCATGTTCACCATCTTTTAATATATTTTAAAAATATTAATATACTTGAATATGGTTTTTTTTTTTTAAAGCTGAACATGAAAAAGCTATTAATCCTAAATCTCTATGAATCTCAATAAATTCGAAAATATAATAGGTTAAAATATGCATATACAGAATACAATCTGTTGCTTGATATAGTCCTCACACAAAATTTTTATTTGAACATTCTTGAGATGAAGTTAAAAAATATTCTAACTATTCAATTGCTTTTTTTTTAAAACTACTACCACTTATTTTTTTTTGATGCAAATTATTATATAATTCAGTGAATCCATTCCAGAGTTTTCTAAGTTGATTTTGTCTAACTGTTAGTAAATAACAAATACTAATATTCTTAAAATTAAAATTACATAAGAGTTTAAGTTTATCTAGACCCATCAAAGATGTATTACATAATTTTTTAGTATTTTTATCTGTTCAAAATTGAAATATTACACCAATTTGTTTTATTTTTACTAATATTTCTTGCTGAATTTTATTATCTAACTCTTTATTTCATTGCAAATCAGATAAATATAGTTCAAAAAGTCGATCTGTAATGTGAAGCATTACATTTAGTTCATCATATACCTAATTTTTAAGATCAATCATATTGAATAAAGGTGCACATTAATGCCCTCTAATCTTAAAAAAATTTTTTTTATTTGTTCTATATTTTTGGTAATTGTTCAATTGCCAACTAGTTTATTATTTTGGTCAAGAATTCTATTTTGCTGTTTTATATATATACACTATGAACAAAAATGATTCATGTTTGCAGAATTAAATCCTAAACAGGTAACTAAAAACTTCTAATCTGCACTAAAAAAAAGTTCTACATTCTAATGCAAACCATTAAGTTAATAAAATCAAGATTCTCTTAAATTGTTTAAATCAAAAATTAATATGCAAAGTGCATTTTGAAGAGATTAATAATTTTCTGATTCAAAGTAAAGAACAAGTGTATAATACCCTTCAGGCTTATGTAGTCTTTCTATATTATTAAGTATTATAGCCATTACCATAACATGTTGAACCTTTTATTCTACATTCCTAACATCTCCAGATATATGAAGTTTAATAGTAGTATTATTTGGAATTAAAAGTCCTTTTTTTATATACTCAGATACAATAAAATTTAATATATTAATTATAGAATGCTGTTCACCTTTTTCAGCAGATTTAACTACATTATTAACTATATTAGGATCAGTAATATGAGGTTGATCTTCAGTTAATTCAGAAGTAACAGATGTTTCTTCTATATTTATAAGTAATAAAAGAACTAGATTTTGCATTTATTTATTAAGTCTTTGACATGTACTTGATATTGCACCCTCTCTTGGCAAATCTTGATTAATACATGCTAATGATCGATAAGCTTCACAAGATATTTTGCCTTTATCTAATGATTTTAAAACTGCCAAATGCAAATCAGCTATCTTTTTTTGATTAACTTTTTCATATTGAATTTCAAATGGCTTATCATTTATAATAAAATATGCTTGCTTAATTTTAACTTTATCATTATAAAAAATGTTTTCTTTACAAATTTCAACTTGATTAAATACACGTTTGGCTATTGTTAACATATGACATCATTAAGTAGAATTACTAAGATTGTTAAAGGGTTGAACTTTAAGATATATATTGAATAGTAACATTTTTCAAACTATATGAACAGAATTTAATTATAATCCAAACAATTGTACACCTGACATTCAAATGTCTTTTTTTTTATTCTTATTTTTATTAATTATATTTGTATTTATTTTTTAAATATCTTCACTTAACAAAGTTTCTTTATTTTTTAGCTTTTTAAGACCCTTCAAAGATATTAATTTTTTAATACAATATTGCTAATGTTAATAAATTTTTTTAAAATTAATTATATTTACTTTGCAGTATTTAGCTACAGTGTTTGATAGAAATTTTGTTAAATGAACTATGCATTTGTCAAACTGTATTGCAAAATATAGCTTATCATTGATATATTGAATAGAGCATTTTGCAATATATATTTTTTTTTTATATGTTGTGTAAACAATATACGGATTAGGAATAGCATATTGCTCTGGTTTCTTAGTATATGCAAGTTTATGTAAAGGAGAATAAACACCTTCATTTATAATTATATAGTTCTATGATCTATGTGTACCTTTAAAAAAAATATGCGAATCTTTAAAATATGCACTTATTTCTTCTTTCTTCATGACTGTCAAATGAAAAAGCATGTATGCACATACAATGTCTATAACATTAGGTTAATATAGTACGTATATTCATATATAATCAAGTAATTAATCATATAAATTAAGTATGATTGGCCATTTTGTAGTTTATATACATATAGTATATATCTTTAAAGATGCTTAACTCACCTTTTCAGTTATACAATTAAGATATACTTAAGTATTTTTTTTTTTTGTAACCTTTGATCAATGCTTTTTTTTTTTTTTAAATATGCTAATATTGTACTTTCCTTGAAGTCATCATATATTGGTATTGTCAGTTAGAGACATCATATTTGGTATTATTACTAAGAGTCATTACTTGTCAGAGTTTCTATTCACACACTCATGTTGTCACTTGGTGTCATTGTATGCTATCATATGTACTATTAGGCTGTTCTTTTTTTGTTGTATATTGGTTTAGTTGTATGTATTTGTATCAGTTGCTTGTTGATGATTTCTTTTTGCTAACTAGTTTTTTCTTGTAATATTTATATACATGTTTTGTCATTCTGGTGTAATTCTTGTGCTGCTGTTTTGAATGTCTTGTTGTTTGTTAGTGCTTTTCTATCATTTAATAGATTTTTCTAGATTGTTATTTTATATTTTTAATTAGTTATGTTTATATTTTTTTGGTAATCTGCAATAGGTATATCTTTTTGCAAAGTGCAATAAATATTTATATATGTCATATGATTGTAGAAGAATTCTTTCTGGTTAATCTTCTAATGCTATATAATAGGTGTTTTCAAGTATTTCAATCAATTGATTAAGGTTATTCTCAAAAGCCAACCTAATATTATCTATAAAAAAATATAGCTGCCATTATTTAAAATAAATTATTCAAGTTTGTAAATATCTTCTCAAATATAATAATCAAGTAATAGAAATAGTATACAATTATTATAACTTTACTGTTCTTATAATACTTTAGATAGTACAAATAGAAATATTTTAATTAATGTTTAAACAAACTTATTAATTCAATATTTTTAATAAATGAAATATATAATTTTTTATTAGTTAAACATTGCATTATCAGTTAAAGATCTCAATTTTACATTTTTAGCATAACAATTATGACCTGACATATCATAAAATCTTTTCATGGTCCATTTAATATATAATTTAGTTCGAGAGTTACAATTCATTTCGTCTACTAATTTAATCCAACTAAGTTAACTGTTATCATAACCTTGTTCTCTCTATATAGCATTATTAAAAATATTTGTTAATATATCATAGAAATTGTCACCACTAATATGATATTAATAAAAATTACCATATAGAGAATATTGTATATAATATTTACCAAATATTCTTACAAAAGCATTTTCACTACAATATAAAGAAAAAACTTAATTTCCAACAATATAATGATGCTTTTTTAGATGTTTCTGAATTTCTCAGACCATAACTTTTTTAACATGATCAAGCTTATAGTTAGGTAATAGTAATATATAAAAAGGTAGTATATTATGCTCTTTGTGTTTTATTGTTTCATAACATTGAAGATCACATTGAGTTTTATAAGATCGTAAACACATACAAAGAGTGCAAGTAAATTTTAAAATACTAATAAAATTAGATATAACTAAATATTTTAAATAGTTAATATATATAAAAAAACATATATAACTATAAATTCTAGCATACTATATACCTATTAAAAAAAAAAGATAGGTTGGGACTTTGAATGATAGGTTTTAGCATATTTGTTTATATTTTTAATAGTAAATAAATATTTTTAAGGTTCTATCTAAATGATTTTTATGCTTACATGATATTAAAATGGGATATGTTTTAAAAAATATACTAATAAATTTTGGGGTACTATAGTATAATTTTTTAATCCTAAAAACTGATTAGGCCAATATGTATGGTATTTTAAAATTTTTATATAAAATTGAAATATATTACTTACAAAACTTTTTTAAATTATAGAATGTGGTAATCTAGTAAAGTAGATAGGTTGTTAATTTTCAAGTAGCAGATTTAAAGTTCAAATTCCAGAGATAGTGAAAAATTTATAATTCTTTCTGTATTATGGCTAACTGTCTTCTATGATTGGTTGGAATAAGATACCTGTAATCTGTGTTATACTAGCATAACTGAAAGGTCTAGGCACTCATCAATATTGTATGAGAGAACATAAACTGGTACCAAGTGATGTGAATCTAAGATAAGTTCTTAGGCTGCATAAATCACAGAAACCAGATAAGAAGATGGAAGCTTACTTGGAAGACCCATGTAGAAAAGTAACCTGAATCTTTGATGGTGCTACTGTAAAGACTAGACTTATGAAATGGAGCTAGAATTTGTAAAACTAAGCAAATGTGTCAGTCTTTAAGGAGGGACCAGATGAACTAATTAGACCATCAAAATTTCTGAGTTTTAGAGAAAAAAAGTACATGTAAGCAAATAAATAAATCAGATCTATGATTTCATTTTATCTTTTTAAGCTATTTGGAATAGCAGCTTAGTGAAACTTAAATTAAATACCAAAGTAGTAAGGATATGTTGTGAAGTTAGTATCAGGGTTGAAATAAATGCTACAAAAGCTTAGTAGTTTAATAGTATGCCCTAACCATTAGTATTGATTTTGGCTATAGCGATACTAAGTTAGCTGTAAAAATAGAATACAGAAAATTCTAGAAGATTTAGTACAAGGTTAAAGGTTTTCTATATAAGTGAACTGCTTTAAAGACTTAGTAGTCATGGCATATTTTTACTAGCATTGGCTGGAGTTATTGGTAGGCAGAGATATTATAAGTAAATGAATACAGAAACAAAGTGGTTAAATAGAAAACCTACAAGCAGAGTTTAGATATAGCAACTAGTATAGAATCTTTAAGTAGACTACTTAAATTAGACAATAACTAAAGTTGTACAAGTGGCTAGTTGTACACTCTTCTTATAGTTGTCTTCTGTGGTTGTAATGCAACTATTAGCCAAATATACTATCAATAAAATTCTGGGTCACAAGTACTTACCTTAATATTTAAAAAA